GGCCCTGGGCTAACATCTGTGCCCATCTTCCTCCACTTTATATGGGACGCCACCACAGCATGGCCTGACAAGCGGTGCATCGGTATGCGCCAGGGATCCAAACCCCGGCGACCAGCAGCGGAGCGTGTGCACTTAACTGCTATGTCACAGGGCCGGCCCCACATTTTGCTTTCTCATTAGTTCATTCATTCATCCATCAAAAATTAATAGATTATTTATTACACATCAGCCGTGACTAAGACAGACATGGTCCCAACCCTGGAGAAGGTGAAGTTCTAGTAATGGGAATGGCCAGAGGGAAAAGAGGGGAAAAGAGGTGTTTGGACAACCCAGAGTGAAAATCCATCCTCGAATGATAAAAACCAATCTAAGCCTCCCCACCAACTCCTTCGATAACAATCTGGGTATATTCAGCTGATTTCAATAGTAAAACAATATCATTTGTTAAAAATACAATGCCATCAAACATAAATATAGATAAAACTCTAAAGGGAAGAAGTTTGAGAATATTATCCTCTTCAAACAAAAAGATGGATGTAGTGTAATTCAGTGGTGACGGAACGTTCTTTCCACCTCCCATGGTGGACAGTGTGGTGCCTCCACAATTTAAATTATTCCCCAAATTGGACACTGACTTTAGGATTTATAAAGAAAGTACTTTCAAAAGAGGTCATTGCCTAAACAATTCCTTTAATCAACAGAGGATTTACTCAACCGATGGTGCCAAACTTTTTTCATGAAGACTGTGATGCTGTACCACGTCCTTAGTCCCCATCACTCAAAAGGATGAGAGGATCAAATGGGTTTTTAAATGCACATTTTTGGTTTATACAGTTCTTTTTCATCTTCTGGAAAGTGATTACTAGACTTAATCAAGATTCCTTGGTGTATCATTAACCAATTTTAGCTCTCTTCCTTTCTATTTTATTTTTTTACAGTGAGTTTGGGAGAGCCCAGTTTTAAGTCCTCTGTGGATTTCATGTTTTTCTGTTCAAGTCTTGAGGGAAGCTAAATTTAAAAGCAGGAAAACAATAATTAAAAGTGATCAGGACAAGAAGCTTTGGTACTATGAGATGTGGACTTGATTTTCCTGTCACAAGCTGAACCGCACGGCAGTTTTTGGTTTTGATTATAGCTTTACTTACTATTTTAATAAGCATGAACCAGCATTCAAACTTTTAATATCCTGCTGCTTAACTATTTCCAAAGAGCCATCCAGCTCTTTTAAACAGCCTTTGTTTTAAAATTTTAATTTGCTTGGCTCGGTCTCACCTTAGAAAGTTGTAGCCTCATGGTAAACTCTTTTATAAGTTGATTTCCAGAACCATAAGCAATTTTTTTTCCCCTCCCAACTAAGCATTTCCTCATGTGCCAAAAGCATTGGTGCTGACAGCTTTTCTGCCCTGTTTTATCTAGTTCCACAGAAAGTATGACAGACAAACACAAGAACATGTCCAGCGCTGACTGGACAAGTGACGTCACAGCGATACTCACAGCTCCTCTAGGAAGCGGAGACCGTGCAGGGGAGACCGGGGCAGCTGGCTGATGCTGTTCATACTGAGGTCTCTGGGGAGGAAAGCAGAAGGGTGTGAGGAGCAGCACCCACCACAAGGAACCCAGCTGTTCAATTCACACATTTTCAAGCAATACAGCCAAATGTACTCATTCGTTTCCTTGACAAATGAATCACTATTTTGCATCTTAAATGCATCCTTTCCTCCCTCCCTACCCCTCAGCATTATGGGCTCTCCATCAAATTAGAGACCCTAGGAGGAGCTTATATGGATTAAAAGGATTCAGATTGTCCAAGGGCATGGCTGTAATTCTTCAGGTTTAAAATTACGTGAGTAGGACAGCAAAGGAAAGACATAACTCAACTTAGTGTCCTGCTTTAAGTTTCTGACAAAGAGAAATATCTTCACCATGCATCTCTGGAAGTCTTCTTTCTCTGGGACTATAAGCATCTTGTAAAAACAAACGTTTTGATTCAAAGAAATTTAAACAAAACAAAACAAGACAAAAAGCTTATATTCCCTCCTTCAACATGTTCCTTTTGCAGGTTCTCAGATTGCATTAAATAAGTGAAATGAACCATAAAACAAGGGTGTAATGTGACCCAGCTCTGAGCCACTTCCTGCTGGGCCTGCACAGTAGTTCCTGGCACAGGAAACAAGAAGCCACTTTGGGCAGAACTCAATCAATTTTTGTTTTAAGCAAAACTCCATGTAATTAGATTTCATTCTGTTTTTACTTTTCTATTTCTTTGCTGTCTCCCACATAACCCTACAGCATCACTGGTACGTGTCATCTGTATCTCAGAGGCTGGAGACCCACTGCTGGACAGTCTCATCAGACCAACCAAGACTTCAGGTAACAGTCAGCTGGAGGTGGACTCAAAAAATGACTCGTTCTCAAACCCAAAGATTCAGAACTAATGCCGTTACATTCTCAGACCAGGTTTACCTTGTTTAAATTTATCTTGAGTAACACAATGAGCTTCTTTTTATTTACTATTTTTTATTGATTTAATTGACATATAACATTGCATTAGTTTTAGGTGCACAACATGATTTGATATACATATATACTGCAGAATGACCACCACAGTAAGTCTGGTTAACATCCATGACCACCCATCAGCTTTTTTTAAACTTGGATTACTCCTGTTATTGAAGCAGCCACTCCCGCTGCACCTAACCAGCCAATTTCAGCATTGATAGCTTGGTTCCTTTACCAAATATTAACTTTTAATCAGTGATGCTAAGAATTGAGGGACCATTCACTCTCTGCCTTTAAAAAGTCACTAGCATGGGGGCCGGCCTGGTGGTGCAAGCGGTTAAGTGTGCACGCTCCACTTTGGTGGCCCAGGGTTCGCAGGCTCGGATCCCGGGCGCGCACCAATGCACCGCTTGGTAAGCCATGCTGTGGTGGCGTCCCATATAAAGTAGGGGAAGATGGGCACGGATGTTAGCTCAGGGCCACTCTTCCTCAAGAAAAAAGAGGAGGATTGGCACCTGATGTTAGCTCAGGGCTAGTCCTCCTCACCAAAAAAAAAAAAAAAAAAAGTCACCAGCATTACAAGGAAGATAAAATATTTTGCTAAAGGTTTTAGAGTATGGTAAAAAACAAAAACCCAGAATTATTAATTTTAACATGCTAGTGAACAACCATGTAGCTGAGTAAAATGGTATATTCTCAAGCTAAAACTAAACAAGGCCAAAAATATAGACAAAAAAATTTGTATTGTCCATATATTAAAAATCTGGATTTTTTTCTGGCATTGCTCAAATAAGAGGGCCAAATAATTGAGTAGTGATTTCAGTTTTTCATGCAGACATTTCTCTGAAGTAGCAAAATTGTTTAGTTGACTGAACAGGCACATAGTAAACTGATCAATGCAGTTTCTGGATTCCTTATAGTGACTGTATAGTCTCTGCAAAGACTTGATATTTCTCAGGTATTCACTTTTTCCTTTTTTGTTTGGTGAGGAAGATTGGCACAGATGTTAGCCCAGGGCTATTTTTTGTGTGTGGGACACTGCCACAGCATGGCTTGATGAGCGGTGCATAGGCCTGCACCCAGGATCCGACCTGGCAAAACTTGGGCCACCAAACCGGAGCACATGAACTTAACCACTACGCCACTGGGCCAGCCCCAATATTCACGTATTTCTAATTGAAGTCCCACTTATTCCTAAAAGGGTCAAGGTGGGTTGCTTTTGAAGCGTGTTGGTCAGTAACCGAGATCAACCATTCCTGATGTCAGGATGGCTGGTGTTGAGAGCACCTACTCTCCTCTCCTCCTGTATCTTCTGTGTGATTGGGAAAAACACTGGTCTTGTCCATGTGCAGAAAGCTCTAAATAGAACACGAAAATTTACATATTAAGGAGATTCATAAGCCTGCCACACTATTTTAATGTTTATTACCCTATTTCAGGCGCCTGGAAGTGAAGCTTATGGGAGCACTCACTCGCAGGGTTCTCGCTGGAGCACTTCTCGTGGTGTGGCAGGAAGGTGCAGACACTGCCTCCCCATCCACGAGCTGCACCATTTTGGGAAAAGTAACCTCCCTGTGCAGGCTTCCTTGTATTGAAACAGGGTGTCTCTGTGTTAATAGTTTGATACCCTGTGATTAGCTCTTTCCAATCAGAAGGGAGTGCCAATTTTCTTCTGAAAAAGGGGAGTAGCACCCCTTCCTGCAGGAATCCATGACTCCTCCATGTTACTGACATTGTGGTTCCTCTTAGAAGATGAGCTGGTCTTTCGACCAGCTGGCCCCTTACACCCCTCTCTGATACAGGCTGCTTCCCTTTAAAGAGCTGCCAGCAACGCATATCAGCCTATAGCAAAAACTAACTCTTTTATTCATTTATTTATTTTTTCCCCCCAAAGCCCCAGTAGATAGTTGTATGTCATAGTTGCACATCCTTCTAGTTGCTGTATGTGGGACGTGGCCTCAGCATGGCGCAGCCGGGATCCAAACCCGGGCCGCCAGTAGCGGAGTGAGTGCACTTAACCGCTAAGCCATGGGGCTGGCCCAGAAACTAACTCTTAATGACAACAATCTATAGTAGAATGAAACAGGCCCTTAAAATATAAATTCAAAGTTGGTACGGCACAAATGAATTTGTCTGCATGCACTTCTTCCCTCTGCGTGCACCTTTGCAGTGATGCTCAAGGGAAACAGTGGTCCTGAAACTCAGTGTTTCCCAAACTATCCACTGCGAAAGACCAATTTTTAAAAATTTCTAATTTGCTCTGGACTTATATTTTTATAAAATATAATAAAAATTAATTCCTAGAAAAGTGAAATAAAAACATAAAGATATACCAAATAGGAGCTCAATATTTTATGTGATTCCACAGAGATCATTCAACTACTATAAAAGTTTCTAAACCTTTACTCTCAAATTCCCATCTGTTGTGGTAAAAAGCAGCTGTGGCCGGCCCTGGTTGGGTCACTCTCTGGTGAGCAAAGCTGTGCTTCTAGTGAAGAAAGGAGAGGCGCGGATACTTCAGCCACCCAGGGAATGACAGAGGAGAAGGGATGGAGGGAGCCGGCCCACCGGCCAGGGTGCTGCTGACCAACAGACCATGAGGCTCGGGGGGCGTGGCCTCTGCCACGTGCGGAATTTAGTGGGAAGCCCCCAGTAGAGCCTACTTATCTACTTGCCTCTGTGGTTTTGCTTTTCCTTTTTTCCAACATTTCTACTCTGTACAAAAATATCCTCATTCTTACTCTTACATGATTTTTAAACTTTTCCTTTTTTTCCTATAGTATTTGGTCTTTCTGACCCCTGGAACACATACAGCTTTAGCGGTGAATGAAGGAATCAATTTCCGAGACTGTGCATTATTTAGTTTTTAAACAGCTGTTTTAAAAATATCCCTATTTTGCACCACATTTTCCTCATCATTCAGTTTGCTAAAATCAGTGAGACCATGTAATGGATTTCTTTAATTTTTTCATCTTTTGCCAAGACGTTGGAATTAATTTTGAAGAACTGGTCACTAGGTGAAAGATTTCATAAGAAATGGAGGATTTATTGTGACAAGACAGTCAAATATGTTAAATGGTCCTGTCCGATCTCTAGCCAGCTCTGGTCTGTGCTATGTTAATGACCACGTCCAGAAACCGAGGTCAGGGTTGCAAAGCTCTGTGGGAGCAGGTGACTGTATACTGAAATCACCCGAGGAGCTTTAACAAGTATTGATGGCTGGGTCCTGTCTCCATAGTTTCTGAGTTAATTAGTCCTGTACGGGCATTGGGATTTTTGAAAGCTTCTTGATGACTTGAATGTTCAGCCAAGGCTGAGAACCACTGCACAGGACTAACTCTTCTAAATTTCTAGACAGGTGTTCTGAACTCTACATTCACTCAAAATTTAGGAGGTTTATGGTGACTGCAGTACTGTCTTCCATGTAGAGCGTTCCATTCAAGCAGACAGCATCTATCTTCCGAAAATGTTTTTGTTTCTTGCAGCTCTATCATTTTTTCTTTGTTTGATAAATATTAATTGTGCACTAATTGTGGGCAGGTCTAGGAACACAGTGGAGAATAAATCTGAGTCACCGTCAACTTTTCCCTTTCCCACCATCCCTATGTTGTAAGACGCGCAGTGTTAATTCTGCCACCTGCTTCTGGTACCGGCCTCTCTTCTTGGCTGCCCCCCTCGCTCAGGTCCTTGTTGTGCTGATAGCTGTTCCACTCTCCATGCCTACTGTGTCTCCTCCTTCTAGGTCATCGTCTACACCAAGGCCAGAGAGGCGGCCCTGAAAAGTGCACCTGATCACGTCACTGCACTCAGAGCCACTGCCAGCCAATAAGAAAGGCTGCCCCTCTGAGGGAGATGGAGATAAATTACAGAAGAGATCCTCTCCCTCCCACTGAGGCAGCCACAGAGCAAGCGGGGTGAATGGCTTGGCCAGTAGAGCCTGGCCTGGAGGAGCCCCTGTGGAGGGCACAAAATAAGGCCATTTGGGTGGTCCTGACCCCCTGTCGGAGATTTTCTGCAGCTCCAGGTCTCTCAGAGGATCTGGCCAGGCTCTTCCGGATCTGGCCTAA